CTTTCAATTATAATTAGGCTACGATATATATAAATACTTGCGTACAAATGATATTGGGACATTAAAGTTGTACAAGATAGTTGAAAAATCATAGATAAAATTTATTTTAAAGAAGGGGAAATATTTAACTTGGGAGAGAATAAAAATTTAATCATTTCTTTTTTAATTTGTCTGGAGAAGATAAAAGTAGAAGATATTTATAGCATAAATTAATGTAATAAATATTCATAAATAAATTTAAAATTAATTACTTTCACTTAAAAATAAAAATAAAATTTTAAATTTGATTAAAATATTTATAAGAAAATTATGTAACATTTAAAATTTGTTTTACTTTAATTACACTTCTCTAACAAAAATAATATTTACTGCTAGACAAATATTTTATTAAAAATATAATACATACATTCCTATAAATTATTTTTATATTAAAAATAAAAATAAAAATAAAATGTAATATATGTATATATTTTTGATAATATATTATTTAATTTAAACGTACATAGTTAAATAATGCATGTAATTACACATATAATGGTTCCAAGTTCATTTTAATCCAACTAACAAAGATGAAAGATTTAAAGCTTGGAAGTTGGAGATCAAAAGCACAAATGTTGGCTCTGGAATGAGGAGTAATATTGAGTGAGATATCAAGTAATATAACATGAAGAGATACATGTTTGACGGAGTGACACAATGTGGATAATGTGATATGAGGAGGTGGTACAAGATAGTTTTTTATTTTTTAGCAAAAATGTCATCACTATAAGTTTTTTTTTTTTACAGCGAAAAGGTTCATTTACAAGTTTATTTAATTAAAAGTATACTCTTGTACTTTTAATTAAATAAAAGTATACTAGATAATACAGTTAATTAAATTGTTTCTTTTCAATTTAATATAACCAAGCTTTTTCACATAGGACTCATACTCGTACTATCTAGAGTCAGCTATCGTACATCATTTCAACTTTTCCGGCCATGTTTTACTCACAGGTTAAAAAACAGTTTTTTTAGTGCACATTTATTTTTTATATTTTCATATTTTTTTTTAACAAATTTCAATTTGTAATGTTAAAGAAACAATGACATTTTTAGCAATTGTTTACTAAGTTACAATTTTTACACGAGGAAAATACCTGATTTTCTTCTATCATTGTAACTAATCTATCACCATCAAAAATAACTGCGGTTTGTAATTTCTACTACCACTTGCTTTTTGTTAGAGATGTTTAACAATTTTCATGCAAATTACGATTTTTTACCTTCCGATTAAGAAAATTAATTAATCTCGTTGAATATATTCATTTTTCAATCACATTTTAGAATTACCATCACTCAATAAATTAGAATTGGAGTAATATATATTTTCTCCATTAAAAAATATAAAGCATCTTTAAAAAGTTGGATGTTAAAAATGTAAAGTATTTTTAATTTTTTGAGATGTAATCATTGTATTTTTTTAAAAAAAGTTCTTTTATTAATGAATAACTTTATATTTATTATAGGTGTTTAATAGATGTAAATATAAAAAGATAAGGTTAGTTAAAAAGTAAGCAATTACTTTATCGGGGATGAAATTTAATTAAAAATACCTTATATTTTTAAATAAAAAGAGTACATATTACTCCCTTTTCTATCACTTGTATATACTCCTCACCATTAAATGTTGGTGAGTAGATTACGTTATTAAAATATATATTTTTAACGTTAACAAAGTTAAAAAAAAATAAATTTTTAAGAGATATAATGAGCTTTAAACTTCATTTAATTCTAATAAAATATATTTGAAATAACTGATAAATAAAATTAAAAGAATAGTTCACAAGATATTTTTTAATTTAGTATATACTCCTTGACTATAATATAAATTATTTTTTAAATGTCTTATTTAGTTTAAAATATTGAATACTCCTTTTAGTTTTATTTGTAAGTTATTTTTAGCATTTTTACTGAAACCAATAAAAGTATTAAATTTTATTAATTCTATCAAAAAATTTAACAAATTTTTAACTTTACTTCTATTAAATATATCTACTTTAAAATAAAATATTATAGCATTTAATAAATTTTCCTACATTTAGTAAGGGCAAAATGATAAAAATGAATATAAGAATCAATGAGGTGTCTTCAAAACAGGATCAAAAAAATATTATCTTTTTGCCCTGTAAATAAGACTAGAGTAGTAAGTATTATGTGTGTATGTGTGTATTTTTTTAATTAAACCCTTAATTTATTAAGTAATTAAAGAAAGTGTTTTAAATAAGTTGAGTATTGTATTTGTTACATTCAAGGGGTACAATGGTAAAAATGTGCAAATTTTTATGAAATCAAGATTTTAACTAACTTTTTTCTTTAGACATAATTTAATTAATACTTCCTCTATCTCAAATTATAAAACACTCTTGAAAAAGATTCGTCGTCTTAAAACACAAGACAAGGTACTTCGAAAATATTAGAGTTTCATTAAATAGACTTATTTTAATATTATTATTTATTTTTTTATTTAATATTAATTAAGTGTAAATTTAAGATTATTAAATGAATTTTTTAAAAAAATTATATTTTTATTTTAAAAAATAAAATTATTATATATATTTAATAAATTTTATTGATATGTAAAATTTTATTTTAAAAAATTATATCATTTGAAATTGAGGGAGTAACAATTTATAATATAGTTGGAAGTAAGTAATAATTTATGACGAAGGGACAGTCATGGGGATTATCATGGTGAATGTGAATGGGGCAAAACCGCAAAAGCAGTTTGGAGGGGATAACAACAGTCCCAATGGGGCCTTTTTCTAATTTTAGTGAGGCTTCAATAATGAGATACTGCACGAGACCACGAACCAGGATTTCGCCGCCTGTCCTTCTTCCCTCCTTTTATTTACACTAATCTACCAATTAATGTCAGGTCATTTGTCATTTGTCACATTGGGACTGCCTAATACTCACTTTTCTCTGCCCAAAAAATTTGTCTTACCATCTTCAGTGATCAGTTACAATTACCGGCGTCCACAGGTACGTACATGTCAGATGTCAGGTGTTGCGATCAAAGCCCTTTATAATAATGGAAAAGTAATCTCGACGGATTCTTTTACCCCCTCACGCCTTCTTCCTCCTCCTCCTCCTCCTCCTCCTCCTCCTCCTCCTCCTTTCTTCCATTTTTTTTTATGCCTTATTTTACTACCTGCAAGTTTAAGTCTCTGACCTCTTACGTGCGTTCTCCTAATTCTCCCAGTGGCAAAGCAATCCGTTTTATATGGAGGAAGTCGCGGCCTCGAAGTTGAATCCCACAATACTGGCTTTGGTTTAATTTTAGGGAAAAGGGATTGTTCGGAATATTTAATGTCAAACAAAAATAAAAAATTATGAAATATCACTTCAATATGTGACTAATTTAAAAATAATCTCACATGAAAAAAAAAATATAATACCTATGCTTTTTTTTTTAATTAACGGGTAATTATTCATGAATTAATAAATACTTATCTACATTTAAAAAAAATATTTACTAATTGACAAGTTTAATAATATGAAAGATATTGATTGTGGGAATGTACAAGCAAGGTTGTTAAACTCTCGAGTTTAAATAAACTCATAACAAGAATGTAAACTCATATTACAAGTTTATAAGAATTTATCTTTATTAATAAATAGTCATTAACATATAATTATAATTGAATTAAATATATTTAAAGTATAAATCATTAAAATTATGCCCATTCACATTGATAAATTATCATATATAAGACATATTTTTGTTTTTTTATTTTTTTATTAATATTAGTTTTTTGCATTTCAAGTTTTTCTCCCTTAAACCAGGTCTCATAACTTTTATAAATTAAATTTTTTATGGTATACTTAACTTGTACAACTAAAAAAAATTAATGAGTTTAACAAGTTTAATCAAGCTTGTATCTAGTCAGAATTTATGAGTGAGTCAGTATAATTTTATAAGTTATAAATGTAAAAACGACAAACTCAGAAGTAAACTCACGAGTTTAATCGAGTTTGTATTTAATTCGAGTTTATGAGTGAGTTGACACGATTTTATAAATTGAAAACATAAAACGTTAAATTTGTAGAGTCAACTTGAGAGTTTGACAACTATGCGTACAAATGTAGATTATATTTTCACAATTAGCCATTCATTAATTAATAAGTCCCATTCACATTTAATAAAAAAATTATTGACTAAATAACATGTTAAAAAGAAAAAAAGAAAAGCAGGGGAATTATGATTTTTTTTATCTAAATTGTTTTCCCTTGATTTAACCTCCTTTCATAATGATAATAAAAAAAAAAATCCCACCATTTCCCTTGACCACTTTTACAGTTTTAAGCCCGATAAGAAGACAATTGTTGCCGAATTAAAACTTATCCAGTTAACAAGACATATTTCTACAAGTTCAAATCCGCTGCAAATCAAAGGACGGAAGGATTTTGATCATATTTAATTTGTAAATGTTTTTACAATTATCCTTTATATAATAAAATTTACCATAATAAAATTTACCCTGCTTCCGGTTATAACCTCTCAAAACTCCAGTTAGCAAATTTTTTTATTGTTATTATAATAAGAGACAAACGCTAGCAACAGTAGCAGAAGAATGCATGGCATGGCCTCCGAGTTCCGCCGGCAAGGTCCAACAATACGGACATGTTTTGTTTATTTATGTATTATTGCTAGTATACGATGCTGTTTACTTTTATGAATTAAATTACATAATTGATGATTTTTTTTTTTTTGACCAGCGATAATTGATGATCAATTGGCCACACTGAAAAGTACAGTATTTATATTTATGATGCTCTGACCGAAACAAATTATTCTGCCAAAAGCATCGCACTTGCGCAATTTCATTATTACACTACTATAGACAAATTGACAATTCTACCATAACATTAATTAGGGCTTGTTGGACAGGGGAACAAAATTAGAATTACACCAATAAATTAAATTAAATTAGATTAAAAAAAGAACAATACAAAGTGAATTGAAGGGTAAAAATAAAAAATGATAGCAAAGTGCAAGCGCATTTAGTTACAAGCGTGTTTGTAAGGGGGGTATTGGCCCTCGAAAATTAGCTTACGTGCCATCACATGTTACTGAAAAACAAACATTAACACAAGAGAATACACAAGCCCAGACACAATCATACATATACTACGTCATCTTTTTCATATACCGCAGAGTCCTAATCAGAGTCTTTAGCAGTTGTCTAACTTGTGTGCATGGATTCTATGTTCTTACTCAGCTCCTCTAGCTTCTTCATCCTCGTTCTTTCGCTTTCGCTCACCAACTGTCGATTTGATAACAGTCACAGCCAAAAACGCAGAACAGATTATCCCCCAAATCAAAAAAAGAAAGAAAGAAAGAAAAGAAAAAAAGAAACAATCTTTCACAGGCACACGATGATATAAAGATGACACTAACCTCCATTAACCTGCTGATAAGCTGTACTTTTCCCTGTTCTTTTCATTGAATGCTTCAAGAGCTTTTGTATTCTTTCTCCTGCATAAATATATGAATTTACCCGTTATATTGTCATCATATGTATGAAGAGTTTACACAAATTTCACCGTTCAGGTTTCCCTCAAGTTTAACCTTCTTCTGGCAGGTATGGCCTAGTGCTTTAACTCCTTGTTTACTGAATCAATCTTTTTCCAGCTCCTGACATTCCTCAAACACAACAAATCAGGAAACTGCAGATCATTATCTTAATTTGTGCATAATCAGAGTCGCATATATAATCCCTGAGAAGCGAAATAACGTTATTCACAAAACAAAACACATCAGAAACTTGATAAGTGACTTTCAAACAACAGAAACTGCTACACTGAGTGAGCGACAGAATTTTCAGAAAGCATAGACGTCAATTATCGGGTTAGCAGCCTCAAACGCTGTCCTAAAAGAAGAATACGAATGCAGTCTTAAATCTATCAGATGACTTTGCCATCGATAAGATCAAACTTTGAAATTAATTTATCAAAATTGGAATAGAAGAAAACAACATATCCTGGTTACAAACTCACAGATCGGGTGTATTCGAGTGCTTCAGAGATTCTGCATACCTCTGGGGTCTCCTTGTCGCTAGATAACACGGTTCTTAGAAATTACAAATTGAGGGGAAAAAAAAGAACTTTCTAGAATCAGGGCGGAATATCTAGCCGTTATAAATCGACATAGTTACATAACTCTATTAGTTCGGCAGGCACAAAAAAGGGGGAGAAGTTTCCTCACAGGAAAAAACTCTTCCCCCAACCAAGGCCATCGTTGGCCTAAAATCTTTGTTAAAAGGGTTCTGGCAGGTATGGCCTAGTGGCTTTAACTCCTTGTTTACTGAATCAATCTTTTTCCGAACCAGTGCAACCTCCTTCCTCATCGGATCTGCCAGAGCCTCCAGCTCCTGACATTCCTCAAACACAACAAATCAGGAAACTGCAGATCATTATCTTAATTTGTGCATAATCAGAGTCGCATATATAATCCCTGAGAAGCGAAATAACGTTATTTCTTTCCTTATTAATGAAAATGGTAATTCTTCCATTCTTAAAAGGCACAAAAAACACATCAGAAACTTGATAAGTGACTTTCAAACAACAGAAACTGCTACACACTGAGTGAGCGACAGAATTTTCAGAAAGCATAGACGTCAATTATCGGGTTAGCAGCCTCAAACGCTGTCCTAAAAGAAGAATACGAATGCAGTCTTAAATCCTATCAGAGACTTTGCCATCGATAAGATCAAACTTTGAAATTAATTTATCAAAATTGAAGAAAGAAGAAAAAAACAACATTCCTGGTTACAAACTCACAGATCGGGTGTATTCGAGTGCTTCAGAGATTCTGCATACCTCTGGGGTTCTCCTTGTCGCTAGATAACACGGTTCTTAGAAATTACAAATTGAGGGGAAAAAAAAGAACTTTCTAGAATCAGGGCGGAATATCTAGCCGTTATAAATCGACATAGTTACATAACTCTATTAGTTCGGCAGGCACAAAAAGGGGGGAGAAGTTTCCTCACAGGAAAAAACTCTTCCCCCAACCAAGGCCATCGTTGGCCTAAAATCTTTGTTAAAAGGGGAAAAAAATCAAGGCCGTCAGACTTCGGATCACTTAAATTCGGCTAACCCCATCAATAAAAGCTAAATGAGCTGTTCACAAAAATACAGAGACGTTACATATAAACTGAAAAGAAAATTGCCAGGTAATTTAGTTGAAGGGAGACAATTAGCAAGGAATCAGTGTGAAATCTAGAAAAGCAGACATGTAAGTGTAGAGAAGTTGGGGGGATACCTCACGAATGGTGGCGAGACGCTTGGTTTCTTCCTCAACTCGACCCAGCTGGGCCTGAACCTTCTCTCTGACCTCCATCTTCTTGCGTTCAATCTCTTCCTCTTTGGCTCTGAAGGTGGAAAGAGCAGACCTGGACATCTCTTCATCTTCCTTAGACAAATGGCTGCTGAAGCTAAGGCTTCCAGAATTCTGAACAACGAGCTGGTTCTGTTGCTCCGTCTGCATCGTTATCTTCCAAAGCCCTTTCCTCTCTCAGAAGAGCTCTTCTTCTTGCTGCAATTCCTGTCTTTATTATCCTCTCTTTTTCTTGCTTTGCCCGGGATGGCTTTCTCTTTTTGCTTTTGCTTTTTTCTCTTTCCTTTGGGGTTCGGCTCTGAAATGATGAGCTGCTCTGCTCTGCTTGCTTTCTCCGTTGTTACGTTGTGAGTGCGCTCGCTAACTGGGTTGGGTTGCCCTTCTTTCTTTCTAGCCCCCGACTCGGCTTACCACCCGAACCGACGGTATTTAATTTTTTATGGAAAATATTAAAACAAAGACTTATTTAATTTCAAATTAATCTTATCTGAAGGTGAGATGTGTAAAAAAAATCTACAGTTGTTTTTCTATATTAATACAGAAAGTGATAGTTTGGTCCAAAAAGTTCAATTTTAATAATAATTATTCTAACAACAAATTAGACATGTAATTGAATCCTCGTATTTATAATTATATGAATTAATATTTATAATTTATTTTTTAAAAAAATTAAACTTTATTATTATTGAGACCGCACGAGTTAGGTTATTTATAATTTGTGAATATCCCATCCATTTGCTAATATAAGACATTAATGTGAGAGATAAGTTATATCACTATATATTATATAGTGAGACTTTATATATGTTAATTGTTTTATGATTATAAAGAATTTTGACTGTAAAATGTGCGTATATTATATGTTCCCAGCGAAGGAGTGTGATATATTAACAGCTACATGGATCAAGTGTTAGAATCGGTCAAATTTATACTGCATAAATTTTTCGATTCGTGGGAAAAAATGGGGGAAAACGGAAAAGTGGAAATGGAGACCAAAATTTTTGAAAATAGATGCCGTTTTTCCAGTTCGTAAACAAAACAATAACAATAAAAGCGGGTGACCTATTTTCCAGCCCACGCGTCAACCTCACTGGCACTAGCCACTAGCCGCTTCCGACGCTTTTTAACAAATAAAACAATAAAACAATTATGACGTCATTCCAATTTCAACCAAAACCGCCAACGAATCACTGAAAACCAGGCCGAGTGAACGAGCAGCAGGGGAAAATTGGTGCGATGTCTAGTTATAATTTTAAAAACAAAAGTTAATTATAAAACTGTTTAACAGTACTAGTGTCCCGTAACCTGCGGCAAGAAGCATTTGAAATTTTGAAGACAGGCGCTTTTTTGATATGGTCAAGATGACATTTTTTTAAGTATATTTGGAGATAATATCTGCCAACAGAGTGATAGAATATCGTTATATAATAGATTAACTTCTGAAATAATTATGCATATTTATATATTAAATATGAATATATTCATATATAGAACACATAATTAATAACCTATGCTTTATTTTGTGTCCCATTAATAAGTTTTATTTCTTGATATCTGTTATTTCTAAAAACAAAACACCAAACTTTTAAAAACTAAATTATTATCTCCCACGAAACGGAACACTGAGACTAACTTAATTATCGTTGCCATCATGGAAACGGAAAACCAATATCACATTGTAAAGATAATTTTGTGGACAAAAAGACAACTTTGATAGGGAAGATGTCTGACCACATAAGATGTCACGAGAGCTGCATATTTTTTTTTCTTTAATATAGCTAAACAGTGAGGATCATTTTATGAAATATGACTAATTTGTGTTTGAATAACATGGGTAGGGCTGGCGGATACCATATCCCCATGAAATAGTTCGGGTTTGTGCCTTGCAGTTGTGGATTTCAGGGATGGTCGCTCTTTCGTGATGCAAACAGGGAAACCATGTGAGGGGCATGCGGCAGCAGTCTAGTTGCATTCACAGAATCCAAATATCGTTTTTTCCGTTATTTTTGGCAGTTAGATTCAGACCCAATATTTCACCACTTCTTTTCTTTTCCATTTTATTTATTATTATTCAAAATTTCCCGATAGTTCACATGGCCTTGGACGTAGGCCTGTTATAGAAATTAATTAAATCAAAGGAAACAAATATACAAGGAGAATGAGCTGTACAAGGTTAGAGTTGGAGTGGGCAAAAAAGGATGAGCTGTTGGCAGCAATCAGGAACAGCGCATCTTATGCGACCTTTTGACAAAATAGCAGCTGCTTTTCCGCAATTCCCAAAGTGATCACTGATCCTGGATTTCTTGTTATTTACTTATCTGCAGATTCGTTGCTTGCCTCCTGGATTTCCCCTGTAATGTTCGGGTCAAGGTGTACTTTAATTATATGCATTTCACACACATGTTGTATGTTGGGCAGGAGTGGTTCGCGCATTGTAACCGAAGATGATGGGTGGGATTTAATTAATTAAAAGCAAGGGAAGGATGGGTTGGGGTGGGGGGGCGGGGGGGGACCAGTCGGAGTGTGGTGTGATAATCTGGTAATAGAAATATGCAGATGCGAGAGAGAATCCAAGGGCCGAGATCATGAGAATCAGGGCGTGGAATCTCTTTTCAGGTGGGGGCCATCTCCGTCGCGTGCCTTCCTTCAAATCAACCACTCATTTCATTCTATTCTAGCCAGCTGAATTAAACCCCCTGCAAATGCCACCGCAGTGCAATTTGGATTTTTATGGATGGCCATGCCATGGCGTGTCGTTTAGCGTCACCGTGAGGTGGTCTCATCCAAGTTTCCAAAATTCTTAATTACTACTTGTCCCTGCGCTGCTACAAGTTAGTGCACCCACACATCAACCACCTCTGCTTCTTTCCCTCCATGTCCTACCAGCTCACACCCCCACGCAAGTTTCATGGTCGCTAGCCGTTACTCACCACCACCACATGCCCTCCCTCCTTTCTCTGTCAATCATTTGCCCGCTTTGGATTCGAACGTATTCCAGTTTTGTCTCTTTTTGCTCCCCTCTCCTATTACCAGCATGCCACTCGTCTGCCCCGTCCCTACATTTTTTACTCTCTAGCAATTTCTAAGCTCCTACCGTACAGCACAAATACCAAATTCGAGTCTTATCACCTGTTGTGCCCCTTGTTAACGCCCAAGCAAGCTCGAAGCCACAATGATTTACCAAATGCCCAGCCGAATCGTTTAAATTTATTCAGAGGGGATGGTCATGATTCATGACTAACGGCAGAAGCAACTCCTCCAGATTAAGGTTGACCTGACTGTTCGGGAAGTCAAGCTCGGGTTGGAAAATAAATCAGGGTCCAATCCATTGGTAGCGTTAGACAGGCCGCAGATATTCAACGACGCGTGCGGCCAACCGTCCAGCGTCGAGTTTACAGTCAATGGGGAAGGAATGATGAAGGCACCCCACTTTTCCGACACATTCCATGTTTGTGCTTTTCATCAACGAAACAACCATTGGAGTTAGTCCAAGTCAGCTGTGAGTTGTCCCCAGTCTCAGTGAAGTGCACCGTCATCAAAAACAAGTTGTGAACAAAAGTGGAGAATGTAGATGTTGGGACCTTTTTTTTCATTTTTCTTTTTTATAAAAAGAAAGAGAATGGAAATAGGCGTGCATCTTGAGATTATAGGTCGCGGAGACCATTAGAAGAAATTGTGGGCTACTCCTACAAAGTGTGCGAATACCGAAAGAACGTGTCGTTGGATGAATGGGAGCTTGGAATATCATGTTCGACTAATAGTTTCGAGTGACGGGGAGGGATTGCGAAACTAGAATAATGGCCTGGACCAATTAAATGGGCCGATTTAATTTCTAATCCACTTTAATGGGCCCATTTGCGATCCGTTTACAATCCAATTAAATCGGACCATTTCTAGAATAGTTGCATTCCGTACGCGTTTAAGCTGGGACTTCGAATGTCCAGGAGAATTTTTGTTATTAATAATTTGTACACGAAACATATATCATTGAGGAAATTAAAACTATTGTTTTTGAAGTGGATGCTCTCTTGTATTTATTTACTATGCACTAGTCTCCTGAAATAATTAATAACTTTTTTCTCATTTTTTTAATTGATTCTTTGATGTGAATCAAACACACCCACCGGATGTTTACTAGTTCCTATGAATATAGTATAATGACACACACAACACACACACCACACAATGTATCGTTCATCTTATGAGAAAAGAGTGTATGAATTGACTCTGGTGAAAGGAGGAGGAACACTTTCGAGGAGTAGGAGCCGGAAGAATTGTAATTTGGAGATGTTAATAGGGAGTATAGTATCACAATACACACGTGTTGAAATGTTGACCATCCTCCGGGCTAGTGTTTGGTGTGGAAGCGATGGCATTAGATGATTGGATTAGTGGAGAGGGAATACAATACACTAAGTAATAGCGAGGGGGTAACGAAGGAGGAGGAAATGGATGCTTTGAATGGAGGGTGGGTGCGTTGAGAAGAACGAGGGGATGGGGATCCGGTGATTAAATATGTTGGCGGGGTTGCAGAGTTCTAAAATTCTTCATGTGTCGGGTAACTCGAGGCACATGAACACCAGTACATGACATCACCTTCTCCGATTCCCGTGACTTTGACGCTCCGCCACTGCTCCCTCCTTTCCTTGGTAGAGCCCCTTGTCTTGTTTGCCAGCAAAATGGACAAATTTTTCGGGGATAATTTTGCCTAAGGATTATTGAGGAGAAATATTTAGCAATAAATTTTAAAAAAATTTTGAAATTTTTTTATGAGATTTTTAGACTAAATTAAAATAAAATAAGTGGCTGAAAAGATTAAAATGATTTTTTATCAAAGAATGAAAAAAAATTGACATCTACTGCAGATAAACTAACAAGTTAAAGAATTAACAATTAATAATTTTGTATTTAGAACAAATGATTGAACTGAAATGATTATTGACAAATGAAGTCAAGTAATTTATAACTGATATTGATAAATTAATTAGTGAAGTAAAAAAATTAATAACTAATGGTGGTGCTTTTTAGTCAATTAAATGAATAAATATTATAAAGGATTTACAAGTGAAGTTAAATAGTTAACAAGTAAAGTTATAAAATTAACAGGTAATATTCTTAAGATTATGGAGTTATGAAATTAACTAGTTAACTGTTTAATAAGTACTGTTAAAGAATTAGCAAGTAAAGTTTCGTGACAACCAAGTATCTGTTAATTTTGCATAACGGCATTTCAATCTTTCTAACCATCCATTTTATTTAAATTTAGTCCATAAATCTTATAGAAAAATCTTAAATTTTTTTGAAACTCATTGATAAATTTTCTCTTATCTAGTCCTTAGTTAAAATTCTCCCAAATTTTTATTCATGATTCATGTCATTAAAT